TCGGTGGTTATTTGACGCGCGACGTGTTAAACATTCATTTGTATGGTAGTGATATTTAATAATACGGAAACGTTCTCGAATTTTAGTACCCTTAAATGTTTAATTTTAATGAAGTCTTGGCAAATGGATTTTTGACTTTAATAGGTAAGTGTATTATTAATTTAACATAACAATATTTTGTAATGATAAGGTAGATCAATTTTTACAAATCTTTTATAATATGGAGAAAGTTTAAATGAGTCATCTCAGTTATATATTGCATTATTTGAATTTAAATTTTGTTTTCATAAAACTACAAAACCATATCAAAAAAGCAAAAATGTAAATGTTGAAAAAAGTAATATTGTTATTTTATATGATATGTTAAAAGATTAAACAACATGTTATTTGTATAGTTATATGAATATTCAATGGTATTGTTTTCTATCTCTTTAGATTAGTCAAAGCATAAAAAATTATGTTATCTATAAATGTATATTACTTTTTATACATGTATTATACAAAAGGTAGATGATGAGGAAAATGATGTATAGCTTAAAGGAAACAGGCCATCAATCAGTCATGATCAAAATGCATATAGGCATTTCTGATGCAAGATTTAATTTTTCTCTCATCATCGACCTACTAAAAATACGACTACTAAGAGATAACAAAAAATTTATGAATGTGATTAGATTTCTGAACACTGTACTAAGAGAAATGACCCAGAACCCTTTCTTGATGATAACATGATAGCTGATAATAATTTATAATTAATAGTACATTCTGCCATGATTCTAAATTTAATATTGTATTTATTGATGGAATAACAAAAACATTAACAAACACTTTCTTTCATTTGTTAATGATTTTATAAAACATAGGATTATGGAAATATCTTTATATAGTATAGTGTATCTAAATACCATCACTGAATATTGATAACAAAGTATTATTACTGTTACTTACATGGTGACTAAAGAGCTTTGCTTTAGTTTAATATCCTTACATGTGGCTTCTGTAGCTTCCTGTTGCAATAAATAAGACTTAGATAAAAATTTATTTGTAAAATCATTTAACAAAAGTTGTTTGCAATTTAACTTATAGTTTTTATTATTAAATACCTA